GTAATGCTACTACCCCATAGGAAAACCATCAATTTCTATGTATTGCAGTGTTGACCACTGGGTTCTCTTATTGGAGAACACCAGTTCCCACCATATGGCTTGCTTCATAATAGCTACTTAAATTTGGAATGCGCCAACCGCCAACCAATGGGTGGAGGTATAATAAAGATATATTTTTTTAATAACGTGGCTGAGCCAATTGAAATATAAATGTATCAAGTTTTTCTGCCATTTGTTCAGGATCCACCCTCCATGCTTTTGGCTTTCCTCCCTTGCCGCTCAAAGTTCTCCATCGCCACATCCCCATCAGCTTCATAAATCTCTCTGTTAGGAAACGATGTTTGATACTCTGCTGAATTGTTTTGCTTTTACACCATCTCTTCCTGCTTTGCTGCCTGTAGTCACCCCCTGGAGCCATTCGGAGAGGATCCTGTCCCTACAGACGCATGTCAAATCATGTTGCCTGATGTTCTTGCTGCATTTGGAAGCACCAAAAGATGGTGTGGGGAGGGAGAGGGAAGAGAAGAGAAAAACCCTAACCCCTTAATTTTTTTTTTTTTAAAAAATCATATCAGGTTGTTTCATAATTATGGTAATATATAATCTTGAGCACTTAACAAGGCTCTCCCTGGAGTCATGGAGGACCTGAACAAGGCATTGTTTCGGAATGATAAATTAATGAATGTTTATACATTGCTTTGAACATGCAAAGGGGGAACGGGTGCCAAATAAAAAGATTGACACCGGCTCTGTAAAAAAAAAGATTCAGCTCTTAAGTGAATCAAAGTATTAGCTTGCCTTTTGGGCCCTCTGCTGCCCTAGAAGGGACCAGCCGGGCACTGAATGATTCAAAGTGTTGGTGCTGACCTTTAAAGTCCTCAACCCTTTCTGGGACCCCACCAGTGTGGTGTAGTGGTTAAGAGTGGTGGACTCGTAATCTGGAGAAGGAGTGAAGGACATATCAACGTTCTAGGTGTCTGTATAGGCTGTCCTAAACAAAAAAAGCTTTTACTAGGCACAGACAAGAGTATAGTGACGGCACCTACCTGATGTCAATAAGCACGGAGTTCCAAAGTGTGGGAGCTGCCACACTAAAAAGTAAATATATGGGGTAAGGCGATCTCACAGGTAAACTGATCCCAAGCTCTTAGGGGCTTTATCTACTAATAGTGACAGTAATAACAGCTTAATTCTCCAACCAGATGATGTGTGCACTAATTTGTATATCGGGGGGAAGTCTGTACAACCCAAATACACTATATTAGGCAAAAACGGTCTTGCAAAAATATGCTTGTTAGGCAAAATCGCATACAGAAATGTGTATACTGGGAGACGTTGGCACCAAAATGTTGATGAATTTTCATGTTGCAATCAGATGTTGAAATGTGGAGAATGGAATTCAAGACTGGGAAATGGAGAAAAAATAAAACTGATAGATTTGTGCATCCTTACTGCTGCTATAGTCCAAGATCTCCAGGGAGCAACTAGAATAGCCCAACATTACCAATTCAGGCAGGGGTTGGTAACAGATTTGTTTAAGAGGGTTCGTGTGTGTATATGTGTGTGTTTATACTATATATACAAACATCTATCTATCTATCTATCTATCTATCTATCTATCATCTATCTATCTATCTATCTATCTATCATCTATCTATCATCTATCATCTATCATCTATCATCTATCATCTATCATCTATCATCTATCTATCTATCTATCTATCTATCTATCTATCTATCATCTATCTAATCTATCTATCATCTATCTATCTATCATCTATCTATCATCTATCTATCTATCTATCTATCTATCTATCTATCTATCTATCTATCTATCTATCATCTATCTATCTATCTATCTATCATCTATCTATCTATCTATCTATCTATCTATCTATCTATCTATCTATCTATCATCTATCTATCTATCTATCTATCTATCTATCTATCTATCTATCATCTATCTATCTATCTATCTATCTATCATCTATCTATCATCTATCTATCTATCATCTATCTATCTATCTATCATCTATCTATCTATCTATCATCTATCTATCTATCTATCTATCTATCTATCTATCTATCTATCTATCATCTCTCTCTCTCTCTCTCTCTATCTATCTATCATCTATCATCTATCATCATCTATCTATCTATCATCTATCTATCTATCTATCATCTATCTATCTATCTATCTATCTATCTATCTATCTATCAATCTATCTATCTATCATCTCTCTCTCTCTCTATCTATCTATCATCTATCTATCTATCTATATCTATCTATCTATCTATCTATCTATCTATCTATCTATCTATCTATCTATCTATCATCTATCTATCTATCTATCTATCATCTATCTATCATCTATCATCTATCATCTATCATCTATCTATCTATCTATCTATCTATCTATCTATCTATCTATCTATCTATCTATCTATCATCTATCTATCTATCTATCTATCTATCTATCTATCTATCATCTGTCATCTATGCCACTCCTGTCAGGCCTGAAACATGTCTTCTTTTAGTCCAAGGGAGGTGAGGGATTCTGGAGGTTGAATTGCACTTGGAAATACATGAACTGAAATGTGGGGATCAAGAGGTGCATCATATTCTTCCTCACCCTCCTTAAATAGTACACCAGGAGAGAGAGAGGGCCCTTCTAAAATCTGGCAATTTGGGGCACCAGAAAACATTGCAAAATTGCACTTTGAAGAACCAATCACACATTCATTTTGATGGAGCCTGTTAGAGAATTTGTTGTAAACTTTCGTGGGATGGAACATGCATTGCATAAATAGTGTTCTGTTCTGCGGCTGTTTATTACTTCTGCATAAATATATATATGTGTGTGTTTTCCAAACACTCTTCCTGATCCTCTCAGTTAATCTTCAGATCGAAGAAAGCTTTTGCCTAAAACAAATAAATCACTCTTCCTGATCAAAATCTTGCCCTTTCAGACCCCATGGTTCCCTTCTTTTCAACGATGAAATTTCTCAAAGTTCAAGCCAGATTCCTGACGCCAACTGGAGTGTGGTTCTTTTGTTCTGTACTCCTGGACTGCTGAAAAGTGCATTCGACGGGTTTTGTAGTCATCCCCTTTAAAGCTGTTAAGACCTGCGGTAGCGCAGGATGAATGCCCCGGCGCTGGGCGCTGCTTTACAAGAGGGGGCTGGTTTAACTGATCTTCTCAGTTGGATGTTAGGTGGACCTCTGAGCCATCTCTGATTTCAAGGAGGAATTCCAGAAGAATGGGCCTTCTATTAGGACGGTCCAAAGCAAGGCGAAAATGTCACACCCGCTCCCAGCCCCCCTGACTCCTTGGAATAAAGTCTTCAAAGACAAAGCAAGAGATGCATCAGTGAACAAGCTGACATCTAAATGGGAAGGGGGGAAAGCAGGCAAACTTCTAAGTGTCTCATTCATTCGCTTCCACCTCTTGCATCATCTGTGTATTGCTTATATAAGGTCGTTGAAGCTTCTCTTTTAAATTAACATGCTGGAGGGATAACTCAGGTTTTACAATCTGCAGCAACACAGGTTTCCTTTTTTTTTTTTTTTTTGGTTATTAATCAGCAGAATTAAATTATTGCTCTACTCGTGGAAAAGCTCCAGTCTGGTTTGTTAATTGGATCATATATTTAACCTGTTCCAGACTGCTAAGACTTGTTCTCGATGAGACTGAAGGCGAAGACGAATGCTTTTCATCTCGGCGGCTCTCTGCTGATAAAACGTGTCCTATTATCACACCTGGAATTATCGAGCTCAAGTTTATTGAGAGCAGGATTTACATCTGAAGTGAATCTAAATTGTTATGTCTTTCTTGCCTGCAATGCTTCCTTTGAACCCTGCCAGAGAGAGAGAGAGAGAGAGAGAGAGAGAGAGAGAGAGATTGTGGAGGTTTGGACTTGGACTGTAACAAGAGCACTGCTGGATCGAGCCCAAAGGTCCACTTCCTGTTTCCCAGAGTGGCCAACCAGAAACCTCTGGGAAGCCCACAAGCCAAACCAGAATGAAGCAGCCCTCTCCTTGCTGCCCAGCAGATGATATTCAGGGGCATCCTGCTCTCAAACATGGAAGCTCTATATAGCTGTCACTGACAGGGTTTTCATATTCCATGAAATTGCTTTTACAGCCATGTAAACTAGTGGCCATTGGGACGCGGGTGGCACTGTGGTCTAAACCACAGAGCCTAGGGCTTGCCGATCAAAAGGTCGGCAGTTCGAATCCCCGCGACGGGGTGAGCTCCCGTTTCTTGGTCCCTGCTCCTGCCAACCTAGCAGTTCAAAAGCACGTCAAAGTGCAAGTAGATAAATAGGTACAGCTCCAGAGGGAAGGTAAACGACGTTTCCGTGCGCTGCTCTGGTTCGCCAGAAGCGGCTTAGTCATGCTGGTCACATGACCCGGAAGCTGTACGCCGGCTCCCTTGGCCAATAAAGTGAGATGAGCTCCGCAACCCCAGAGTCGGCCACGACTGGACCTAATGGTCAGGGGTTTCTTTACCTTTACCTTTAAACTAGTGGCCTTAGCCTTTTGTGGTGGCGGTGGATTCATGATCTACTACAGCCAGGGATGGAGAGCATGTGGCTCTCCAGATGTTTTTTGGGCTAGGCCTATCATCCCTGACTATTGGGCCTTGCTGGCTTGGGCTAATGGATGCTGGAGCTAAAGAACATCTGGAGTATCACAAGCTCTCCATCTTTGCACCGTGTGACGCGGAGATGGAAAAGTGGGTGCAATTCTGAGATTAGGGCTATGCCTCACCATTCACAGGAAGTAGCTTGTTGAGCGGTTTAAAACATTTACGTACACTTTGTGTTGTTGTGAAAAAGCTTGACACCTCCAGGCAGGGCAGGGAAAGACCACTGCCCCCTCCAATGGAAATCTTGTGAAGGGAGCATAGAACCCACCAGCACTTTGCCTGGAGAAGGTCCCAGGCTTGGTGTTTGGCCTCTCCAGTTGGAAGGAGTCAATGCCGTGCGAGGAGAAAGAAGGAAGAGAGATAGCTCAATGGTAAACCATCTGCTTTGCATGCAGAAGGTGCTGATAATGCCAAGGTCGCAGGTTCGATCCCTGCATATTCCTGCATTGCAGTGGGTTGGAATGGATGATCCTCAGGGTCCCTTCCAACTACAGTTCGATGATTTCCATGAATCCCTGGCATTTCCAGGTAGGGCTGGGAAACAGACTCATGTCTGAAAGCTGCTGCCGGCCCGTGTAGACAATACTAAGTTCGTTAGACACATGGTTTCACTCAATATAAGGCAGCTCCAAACTCCCCTTTCTTCTCCAAGCTACACAAATGCAACCCTTTCCCCAAAGGTCAAACTCTCCAGGCCTTTTGTTTTCGGGGCTCTACTTTAAATTTGCAACTGCCCCCCCCCCGGTGGTTCTGTATCTTTCTTGAAGTGCTGCAAAAGAGAAATGGAAATTCTATTGACTCTTCAACAGCTGACATTTAGGTTGCTCTAACTACTTTGTGTACCCGTGGCATAATTTGGGTGCTCTTAAAAGAGTGCCTGTGTGTGTGTGTGTGTGTGTGTGTGTGTGTGTGTGTGAAACGCAGCCGTTTGGAATTTTAAAGCCACTAATTAGAGGGAATCGACTCTTGCTGCTTTCATCCCGGGAGCTGCAAAGCTGCTGGAAGGAATGAAAGGGAAAAGACAGTGTGCACTGAAGTGCTTCAACAGCTGGGCAACGTGGGCTGGCACCTAGGAGAGAAGGGCACTTTCTTCATGCAAATTTCTGTGGGAGCCGAGCACCCATAGAAAAGCTAGTCCCCGCATTTTACCTCTTAGCCACAAAACCCTGCAGGTACACAGCACCTTTGGTGTGAAGATCTCTGCTCCTCACCAAGGCTCTTTGAATCCCAAGGCTCACAGACCTTTTGGGAGGACTGTCTCTTCTTTTCCTCTGCAGGTAATTGCGAAGGGTAATTACTGCAGTAATTGCCAGTGCGGCATGGCAATCTTTGAGCTGGGAACCAGCTTCTCAGCTGGTGGACCAATCTTCTCAAAGAAAGTGATTCACACTGAAAGAGGCAGCTGTCAGGTTGGGTTGGAGGAGTTGCGCGACGCGACAGTCTCTGCCCAAAGTGTTTGCTTTGTACTCGGTCCACGCAACCAGGCAGAACGTGCCGGATCGCAACCCCGACTGAAGACAATGGGGAGACTGAAGTCAAGAGAAAGAGGCATTTTTGCCTTCAGTGGACTTTTCAGATCACAAAGCCAGTGGTTTCATGGGCTGGGTTTCATCTGGCTGGGTTTCTCCAACCACTCTGGGCGGCTTCCAACAGAATATTAAAATGCAATAATCTATTAAACATTAAAAGCTTCCCTAAACAGGGCTGCCTTCAAATGTCTTCTAAAAGTCTGGTAGTTGTTGTTCTCTTTGACATCTGGTGGAAGGGTGTTCCACAGGGCGGGTGCCACTACCAAGAAGGCCCTCTGCCTGGTTCCCTGTAACTTGGCTTCTCATAGTGAGGGAACCGCCAGAAGGTCCTCAGTCTGCAGGCAGAATTATGGGGGTGGAGACACTCCTTAAGGTATACTGGACTGAGGCCATTTAGGGCTTTAAAGGTCAGCACCAACACTTTGAATTGTGCTCAGAAACGTACTGGGAGCCAATGTAGGTCTTTCAAGACCGGTGTTATATGGTCTTGGTGGCCGCCAGTGGCGTGGCGTGGGTTGTCAGCACCCGGGGCAAGGCAAGTAATTTGCGCCCCCTAACCTGTGGATTTGCACCCCCTAACCCGTGGATTTGCGCCCCCTAACCCTAACCCCCAGAAGTTGCGCCCAGTGCGGCCGGCCCCCCCCTGCACCCCCACGCTACGCCACTGGTGGCCGCTCCCAGTCTAGCTGCCGCATTCTGGATTAATTGTAGTTTCCGGGTCACCTTCAAAGGTAGCCCCACTTAGAGTGCATTGCAGTAGTCCAAGCGACAGATAACTAGAGCATGCACCACTCTGGCGAGACAGTCTGCGGGCAGGTAGGGTCTCAGCCTGCGTACCAGATGGAGCTGATAAACAGCTGCCCTGGACACAGAATTGAAACTTGTACTAGAACCTTCTGGGTAGTGCCATCATTCTTTGGAAGTCCCTGCCCAGAGGAGCTCATCTGGTCAACTCTAGGGTTGCTCTATCTCCAAAAGTGGAAACCAGGACAGAGTTGTTGCTTTTTTTTAGGGGGACCAAAGTTGTTGAGCTTTTTTGTGGCAGTCCTAGTCAACTCAGTGCCCACCTTTTAGGACATGCTGGATCTTCTTTGTGGAAGATCTCATAAGCTACACCCCCCAGTCCTGACTCATACTGGCTCTAATTTTCGAAAGTAGTTATATTACACAGGGGTAGGCAGTGGAGGTTGGTGTATTGGGGCAAATGGGGCACTTGCTCCACCAGCCTTAGCATGCCTTCCTACTTATAAGCAGCACAGAGGTGGGGGCTGTCTGTATGTCAACTTCTCCTTCTTTAATCTCAGTTTTGGCCCTTGTAGAATACAGCAGGGAGGAGGATGCCTGGAGGTTGCTGGATGGAGGAGAGAGGGCAGTAAATAAATAAAAACACTTAACTAAAATGAGAAATAACCAGAATATTTGAAACACAGCAAAGAGCAGTCAAAATAAAAATAGAAAGTAAAAAATTGTCCAGTAGCACCTTATAGACCAACTAAGTTTGTTCTGGTATAAGCTTTCGTGTGCATGCACACTTCTTCAGATACACTGAAGCAGAAGTCACCAGACCCTTATATATAGTGAGAGGGTGGGGAGGGGTATTTCTCAGAAGGGTAGTAGGAGATGGGTGATTGGCTCAATGGGTATGGTAAACTTGTTGACGACTGTTAATGACTGCAATTAGTCCTACAGGAAAAAGCAAGGGATAGTATGCAAATGACCAAAAATAGCTTTAGCATGTGTAATGAGACAGGAATCCAATATCTCTATTAAGACCAGATCTCTCCATAGTTTTCAGTTTGGTAATAAGTTGTAATTCAGCAACTTCTCTTTCAAGTCTATTTCTGAAATTCTTTTGTAATAAGACAGCTGCTTCGAGATCTTGTATTGAATGTCCTGGGAGATTGAAGTGTTCTCCTACTGGCTTCTCTGTCTTGTGATTCCTGATGTCAGATTTATGTCCATTTATCCTTTGGCGTAGGGTTTGGCCTGTTTGTCCAATAGAGAGAGCTGAAGGGCACTGCTGGCATCTGATGGCATACCCAATGTTAGAAGATCAGCAAAGAGCAGTTGCTATTGCTATTGGTCTTTATTGACATAAGACAAAGAACAGTTAAAAGAGATGAACGTAGCAGACCTAGTAAAAGAGACAGAAATGTTTTACCCTTACACAAAAAGGCTCTGCTCATCTCTCTTGCTCAGCCACTTGTACCATGGAGCCATCATTCAGTACCTTGCAGAGGGAGAGTAAAGACGTGGCTAAGGTTGAAGGTGATAGGGGAGCATCTCCATGGGCTATGCTTGCTTACTGAGTGTGCATGGAAAAATTGCCTTGGAAAAAGGAGGAATTTGGGAAGGGTTTCAGCAAATCCAAGAAAACTTGTTGAAGTATTCTGGACTCAAGTTATTAAGGGCCTTGTAAAATATTACAGGAACACCGAACCTCACTGAGCAGTGTATGGGCAACCACTGCAGGCTTTTGAGCATGGGAGTTATGTGTCCCCCATCAACAGTCTCGCCACAGCATTTTGCAGCAGCTGGAGCCACTGGATGAGGCCCAAGAGTAGCCCCACACAGAGCTCATTGCAATACTCAGGTCCTGAAGTTGTGGAACAGAAATGCCTCATGTTAGTAGTTTTCTGTGCCATTTTAAGAATCCACAATGATAGCAAAAGGCAGGGGTTTTTTTTTGAGCAGGAACTCAGGGGAAGTGAGTTCCCTTATAATTAATATATATGGGGTGCGCTCCTGTTGCTCAGTCCCTGCTACTGCCAACCTAGCAGTTTGAAAGCACGTCAAAGTGCAAGTAGATAAATAGGTACCGCTTCAGTGGGAAGGTAAACGGCATTTCCATGCGCTGCTCTGGTTCGCCAGAAGTGGCTTAGTCATGCTGGCCACATGACCCAGAAGCTGTACGCCGGCTCCCTCAGCCAATAAAGCGAGATGAGCACCACAACCCCAGAGTCGGCCACGACTGGACCTAATGGTCAGGGGTCCCTTTACCTTTTTTTGGGAGGGGCTGAAACAGTTATACACCCAATGTCTGAGCCCAAAATCCACCTATATCTGTAATCAATAAAGTTGCGGCCACTTCTGATGCAGATCATTGTCTGCTTGAGTTTATTAATCACATCTTAACATTTATTCACTGCCTGGTGGGCTGGGGTGAGGGTGGCACTGTGACTGGGCCCACAACAAACAAACAAACAAACAAACAAACAAACAAACAAACAAACAAACAGACTTTGTGGTGAGTTCCCACCTTTTTTTCTAGAAAGAAAAAGCCCTGGCAAAATGTCTGGTTACTTCACACCCTGCATTGTACAACTTTGGGATTTCTTATTTACAGAACTAGCTCTCTTAAATTGCAGTTGCCTATAAGAGCATTCTGAAGGATTTTAAGAAACACAGAGATATACAGTGGAAAAGCACATATAATCAGACAACGGGTGGCATGTCTTCCCTCCGAAATATGAGAAAGGACTTACAGGACCCATGAATGCTAATCCTATCCTAATACCTTTGGAATTTTTTCGTATATGATATGCAAATGTTGTCGGATAAAAAAGCCACGGTTCTTTGGGCTAAATTTGGACTAAACCTTTTCAGAGTCTTATATCCTGACCCAGAACCCAAATACTTGGATAGCAGCAGATGCTGCCCTCTTGACTTTTCTGGGATTACACCAAGCTCTTGGTCCCCCCCCCCCCGGTTTAGTTCCTTCAACATTTTCACCCTGTTCTCTCCACTTCGGGATTAAAGAAATGAGATATTTAATCCTTTATTTCGTCTTGATTTTTTTAAAAAAATGGATTTAGCAAAGATCCTTGAGAGAAAACACACTTGCCACCTGTGGCTTTGCAAGTAGATTCATTCTGAATGTGAAATGAGCACATCCCTTGGCCCAAAGTGAAGCTCACAAGGAGAGTCAAGCTAGATTTATTTATTTATTAAATTTGTATACCACCCTTCATCTGTAGATTGAAATTAAGTGTTTAAATCAATTAATTTTTGTTATGTACCGTATTTTTCGCTCTATAAGATGCACCAGACCATAAGACACACCTAGTTTTTGGAGGATAAAAACAAGAAAAAAATTATTCTGAATCCCAGAAGCCAGAACAGCAAGAGGGATCGCTGCGCAGCAATCCCTCTTGCTGTTCTGGCTTCTGGGATAGCTACGCAGCCTGCATTCGCTCCATAAGACGCACACACATTTCCCCTTACTTTTTAGGAGGGGAAAAGTGCATCTTATAGAGCAAAAAATACGGTAAATAGATTTTGTGGGGATGCTTGCATAGTTTTGGGACTGGGAGGAGCGGACAGGAAGTTGTCATGGCTTCAGGGTCCAACTTCCTCTCTGTGGGGGATAAAACTATGGATTTGGAACAAGAGGGCAGTGCTTGCAGTGCTGGCCATGAAGCCTTTTCTCGGAAGCTCCAGGATAGGCGGAGGCCATTCTGCCAACATATTTTTGACCTAAGGGGGTTGCATTTCTGCCCTTCAACCATGAGATCCAGTAGAACCCAATACAGTTATACCTTGGATCCCGAACACCTTGGTACTCAGATGTTTTGGCTCCCGATCGCCGCAAACCCGGAAGTGAGTGTTCCAGTTCGCGAACGTTCTTTGTAACCCGAATGTCTGATGGGGCTTCTGCACTTCTGATCTGCTGCAGGATCTTCCCGGATGCAGCCAGTCAGAAGCCGGACTTTGGTTTCTGAACGTTTTGGAAGTCGAACAGATTTCTGGAATGGATTCTGTTCGACTTCCAAGGTACGACTGTAGCGTGGGAGTCTACAGCTGCTGAAACAGACTATACCTTTTTAGCCCATGGAAGTTCTGCTACTGAGCAGGCTCGGTTCTGGTTAATTTGCTGCTGGAGCAACATTCCAACATTGCCCAGAACCTTCTGGCTTTTGTCCAGCTCAGTCCTACTCAGCAAACTCCCATTGAAATGAATAAGCCAACATTAGTCATGCGCATTGATTTTTGTAGGTCTGCTCTGAGTAGGAGCAACATTGGATACAGACCTCCGCCTACAACAGCCATCACCTGGGGGCAGAAGAGGAGTGTAGCTATTTTTTGCTTCCTGCTGCGTTTATGACAAAATTTGCCCTCCCAAAGCTTCTACATCAGTGGTTCTCAACCTGTGGGTCCCCAGATGTTGCTGGACTACAACTCCCATCATTCCTAGCCAGCATGATTAGTGGTCAGGGACAATGGGAGTTGTAGTCCAACAACATCTGGGGACCCACTACAACTCCATCATTGCTAGCCAGCAAGACAAGTGGTTAGGGATGATGCGAGTTGTAGTCCAACAACATCTGGGGACACACAGGTTGAGAACCACTGTTCTACATGCATATCACTTGAAGTCCTTACTGTCTGGCACCAACAGAGGCTTCCATTAACGTGCAAATGGCGGCTGTGGAGAGATTTGTGACAGTGTGAATGAGCCAGTCATCGTAAGCAGAATATCTGAGCCCCTTGATGGGCACACGTGGAGGCAATTTCCATATTCTACTGCAGGTTAGGGAGTGCTAAAGTCCTGTACAGGCAGGTAGGAGTCTTTTCCTTGAGGTGTGCTTCAGTCACCATGACAAAGCTATGAGAAAAATGAACAGGTCAGAAATACACACCCAGAGCCAAGAAACCAGTAGCGGAAGCACCATAGCTCAGTGGCACAGCCTCTGCTTTGCATGCAGAAGGTTCCAGGTTCAATTCCCTGCAACTCCAGGTAGGGTTAGGAGTGCATGTTGCCAGAAACCCTGGAGATTTCCTGCCAATCATCATAGATAATACTGAGTGAGATGAACCAATGATCGGACTCTGTCTAAGGCAGCTTCCTGTGTTCCAGTGCGTTAGGAGCATGCCATGTGGCGATAACCCCCATCACACACCACAAACTGAGGACCACGCTAACATTTGCTCAGTTAATTGCTATTAACAAGTGTGTCCTTGTGTAGGCAGTTAATGATTCACCCATTTACTTGATAGGCCCTTTTCATAACAGATTGGGAGCCCAATTGGGCGGTGAAAGATGATTGGGTTATTTGCTTAGCCCTCTGGCTTTGGCGGTTGTAACTGAGAAGGCTTAAGAGGCCAAGGCATTCAGGAATTCCCTGGATGCCTTCGCTAGCTCGTTAAGGGATGGATGTTTGTGTTTGATAAATGAGAGGATGATGCGGAGCAATTAGCATGGCAGGTTGAATGGTGCGGGGCTTCGTTATCTGCAAATGATAGAAGGAGGGGAGGATGGAATTCCACTGCCGGTTAAAGCCATGGGATTCTGGCAATGAGTAACTATTTTGTCTGTGATGCAACCCTGGGGGCCATTAGTGCCCTCTGTTCCCCACACAGCTATAAACACACCCACTTAGGTGGAATTCCATCTCAGATTTATGGCTTAAGGAACGCTGAACAGGGCTTTTTATTTTCTCCGCTCAGAATCTGCAAGGTGTGGCCGCGCACGATAGGAATGCCGAGTCCCCATGCAACAAAAAACTTGGGTGTTCATCCCACGCTATTAGACTTTGCTTACCATGCAGAGAGGTCAGCAGCCCACACCTACCTCAAAATAAAGCTTATCTACACCCATTTTATTGACCCACTGAAACATATTTCTATTGGGGGACCCCCCCAAAAAACCCTAGAAATTAATTCATGTTTGGGTCTTGATTAATTGGGATGTGGGTGAATGTACAAGCTGCAGAATTGTTCCAGACAAGGAATCCCTGGGTTCGCAAACCAGCCTGCCAGACCTAACAAAGAGGAAATCTGTGAACGTGACAAAAGGTGTCGATGGGCCATCTGAGAGGAATCCTTAGGCCTGGGGAGACAGATGTTGCCAGGGTAACTGGGAGTGAGGTGACAGGAAAAGGGAGTCTTGAGGAAGGGTTGCTGGGAAGAAGGAGGAGGAAGAAATGAGACCCATCTTGGGCAGGCTGGCTGAAGGCTGCCTGCCTTGGACTCCAGGGATGCAGCCTTGTAGGGTGCGGGACCCTCTTGAAAAGACCATGTAAGATCCCTCCATGAAGACCGAACGTGTAAACGGGTGAATAAACCATATTTCTTTCTTTTTATATTGGGTTGTATAAACAAGAATAAAGGTAAAGGTAAAGGTGCCCCTGACCATCAGGTCCAGTCACGGACGAGTCTGGGGTTGCGGCGCTCACCTCGCTTTACTGGCCGAGGGAACCGACGTTTGTCCGCAGACAGTTTTTCCGGGTCATGTGGCCATCATGACTAAGCCACTTCTGGTGAAACCAGAGCAGTGCACGGAAATGCCGTTTACCTTCCCGCCAGAGTGGTACCTATTTATCTACTTGCATTTTGACATGCTTTCGAACTGCTAGGTGGGCAGGAGCAGGGACTGAGCAATGGGAGCTCACCCTGTCGCGGGGATTTGAACCGCCAGCCTTCTGATCGGCGAGCCCTAGGCTCTGTGGTTTAGACCACAGCGCCACCCGCGTCCCGACATAAACAAGAATACTGTTATACAAATAAGTATACCGAGTTTTCTCACGTCATTTGTGTATCACAAAAATAACATAATACACGTGGAAAAATATCTACAACATATGTTCCATTATTAGTGGTCAATGTATAGGTTCATGAATTGGTTTAAACAATTAGGAAGAAGAATTAAAAAGGGGGGAAGAGGGGTTGGGGGGAATGGTGAGTGGGGTGGGGTCGGGTGGAATAAACCATATTTCTTAAAGCTATGACAGTCTCTGCCGTGTCTCGATTCTCCAGAGGAACACAGTGTACCTGGAACCCCATGGACTCTTGCTACTGCTTGGCAGAGAGTGGGAGTGGTACCCAAATTTTGTAACGCTATAATGCTTTCCTGTTCAAAAGATACCATCCAAAGCAGCTTGCCAAAGTCAATGTAGGATAATAAGAACACAGCGAAACGAGAAAATTGCACTGGCAAAGTGGTCCGCTCCTTCGCACCCCACGTGCTTTTGCTTGCCAGGATGGAGGAGAAACAGGAGTGTTTGTAGAAAGTAGCCTACTGTACAGAGCTCAAATTCCCCAGCTACCAGCCCTGGTACACACCCTCCTTGAGATTTTGGCCTGGCTGGAATGTGGCCTTGGACCCCAACGATGCTGCCTGCTTGCCTTGATAGAGGACAGAGAGGGGTGTGTTTTTCTCCAGGGCATGTGTTGCTCCGCCCACTTTGCCTCTGGCCCCGCCCACCACTGTCATGTGACCCTCAGAAGGCTGTCTAGAAGGGAACGAGTCCCTCAGGTGTAAAGTTTCCCCACCCTGACCTGGGGCAAAACTTCCCTACACGCTCCAAAATGCACTTTGCCCCATCAGAATCCTCGATATTTCTTTATTCAGCCGCCCTGAGCCCAGCCTTGGCTGGGGAGGGCGGGGTATAAATAAAAATTATTATTATTATTATTATTATTATCATCCTGGTGCCATCAATGAATGAGAGTGTGTGTGGCACAGCACACACACAGTCTTGAGTAGAATCTATGTGAGGCTTGCCTCTTGATAAATAGAATTATTTACTGTTCTCTGAGAGAGCTTGAGGGCAAAGAAACAGCAAACAGACCTGCAAAAACAAAGGTGCATTGCGGTGTGTGCGCGCGCACTTGTTTGCCTTATAAAGAGATGGTTGCTGGGGGAATAGGGTGGGATAGCAATACAAATGAAGGAATCGATAAATTACTGCAACTTTGCCTTGTTGCTGAACTCTGAAGAAAAGAGATTTCTGGTTGTGTGCCGTGGCTCCCTGTGAGAGGGTTGTACGAGTTCGGGTGGGGAAGGAGGGGGTAATTTATTCCAAAGCACCTCAGATCTGTTGGCCGTGCGCACAAAGATCAAACCCAGAGATCCAGCCCTGCCCACAGGCCCATGCTCAACATGACAGATATGAAAAGAGATGGCAAAGGGGAACAAATTGCCAGTTGCTAGGCTTGGAAAATAAATAACGGTGAACAACGAAAGGGGAAACCTGAAGATGAATACAGCTCCAGAGCACAGGGCTGGAAGCTCCTCACCCACTTTCCTGGATATTAAGGAACATTGGAAGCTGTCGTACACCAGCATACTTTACAAGTGTCCCAGGAAAAAACCGGGACTTTCTGGTTTTTCCTGAGAGAGCATGGCGGCCATTTTGGGCACTGTGCTATTGTGCCGCAATCTCACCATGAAAAAGCGTGGGGTTTTTTTGTTTTTTTTGAGGGGGCCTGCAATTTTGCATGGTGCATTTTTGGGTGCCCTGAGAGCACCTTTCCGAAAAGGGTGTGTCTTTGGGGCTCTGTGGTCTCGTGCAGGTCACTTGACTCACACAGATGGGAAGATGTGCATCCTGGCTTTGGGACACATAATAATAATAATAATAATAATAATAATAATAATAATAATAATAATTATTTATTTATACCCTGCCCATCTGGCTGGGTTTCCCCATGTTGGGGGGTATGTACTAGCTCTGTTCATGTGTTACTTGCCCATAGAACCATACCCATAAATTGATCAGGGGGGTTGGAGAGACTCCCCCATGAGGTAAAATAGCATCATTGGAGACTTTATAGTTTAGAGAAAAGTCAAGGAAAAGGTGGCATGGCATGGAGAGAATGAAAAGAGGAAAGTTTCCTCCCCTCTCTCATAACACTAGAATTCGTGTGGCTCCAATGAAGCTGAATGTTCGTTGCCTGTGTCTATCGGCCTGTTTTTGTTAGCTTTTTGTTGAACTCGCTTCCCCACCAACCTTTAAACTCAGTGACGGAAATTCTATTTTAGCATGATGAATCTCCCCTAATGCCTAAATACCTCTCTCCTTCCTGCCTTCCTTCCTGTAATTAGGACTGCTGCTGCTGCTGCAGGTCTTACTTTTCAGAACATCCTTTTAAGAACAATACATCACTGGGGAATCCTGACACGAAGGGTGTATCCAGAATGCCGTTTCCCCCTCCCCCCAGGCAATTGCTGACCCCTCCCCAATCATATTGGGAGGCGGTGCTGCCCTCTTGCATGCCAAAATCTGTATGAGCCCTTGCCTCCTCTCAGCTGGTTTTTCCCCCGTTTCTTTTTTAAAAAAAGGTTTTTGGTAGGGTTGGGGCAGAAATTTAGTTCCGTTCACATTAAAAGGTGAAGCTGCCTTATTTTCACTTCCTTTAATAATACAGGAACCCAAACCAAGCTGCCTTTTGAAATGGGCAGTACAGTGGTACCTCAGGTTACAGGCACTTCAGGTTACAGACTCCACTAACCCAGAAATAGTACTTCGGGTTAAGAACTTTACCTCAGGATGAGAACAGAAATCATGCGGCAGCAGCACGGTGGGAGCGGGAGGCCTCATTAGCTAAAGTGGTACCTCAGGTTAAGAACAGTTTCAGGTTAAGAACGGACCTCTGGAACGAATTAAGTTCTTAACCCGAGGTACCACTGTAATCTGAATTTTGCAATGCAGTTCTCTAGCCAACAGATGTGTATACAAAATGTATATACCAGGGCCGCCAACTCATGGGGGCTGAGCCCTTTTGGGCACCCCCAATATTTGGGGAGCAGACCAGCCCACCCATTGTCCAAAAATTCGTGTGTGGAGGGAGGTAGAGCAGGGAGCATGGCACATCTTCAGTGGCTGCTTCCTCCTCCTCCTCCTCCTCCTCTTCCTCCTACAGCAGAAGGGAAAGAGGGTCAAAACAGCAAATATGAATGAAAATAGGCATACTTCAAATGCACCACATTAGACCAAATCCTTGCAAAAACACAGGGGTGAGATTCCCATGCTTGCCATCTTAATTCACCCAGAGGCACCTACACATATAAATTAGCCTATGCTTGCCAGCTTCCCATAGCACCTGGTCAGCCACAATGAGAACAGGGATGCTTTGGACTTGATCTGGCAGGGTTCTTATTTCGTTTTATGAAGGACCGCCCTGATTTTTCTCCCCCATCATTTGAGGTCTGGTTGAATCACCCCGACTTAAGGCATAGCACAGTTTAGCTCCGCAGTTATTATTTTTTTATGAACGCCTAAGGAAATTAAGAGAATGTCATGCACCAACAGTGAAATCGGCCCCCTTCGGTTCCTTCTGAACCTTTTCCCACCCCCTTTCTGAGCAGTAGGGATAATATTAAAGTTTGGAGACTGTAGCTCTGGTTACATATAAACACGCAGAGGCCTACAAGTGCAAAAGGCCATTAATCATATCTCTGGCACAGCTGCTCTGCTGATTCGTCATGGCATTGTTGAAATGTATTATTTCAAGAGGCAGGGGTAGGGAGGGGCGTCCGAACTAACGGGAAGGAGGCTCAGGGAGAATATGTTTCTTTTTTCCCCAGCCATCTATGGCCACAAATTAACTCCAGGGAGCTAATTATCTAGAAGCAAGGCCGGTCCAAAAAAACATTGTGTTGCCTAAAGCAGAGCATCCAATTAGCAGGGCCTCACTAATGATAGTTAACACAAAATCTGCTTGGAGATTCTCTCGTTGGGCTAGCCTTGTGTCCCCCTTCTCAGAGGACAGTGCTCTGCTTAAAGGCATCCTCTGTTCGAAGCACTGTAAAGGTAAAGGACCCCTGGACAGTTAACTCCAGTCAAAGGCAACTATGGGGTTGCAGTGCTCATCTCGCTTTCAGGCCGAGGGAGCCGGTGTTTGTCCACAGACAGCTTTCTGGGTCATGTGGCCAGCAGGACTAAACCGCTTCTGGCGCAACAGAACACCGTGATGGAAACCAGAGTGCATGGAAACACCATTACCTTCCCACTGCAGTGATACCTATTTATCTACTCGCACTGGTGTGCTTTTGAACTACTAGGTTGGCAAGAGCTGGTACAGAGCAACGGGAGCTCACCCCGTCATGGGGATTCAAACTGCTGACCTTCTGATTGGTAGCCCAACAGGCTCAACTGTTTAGATCACAGCGCCACCCGTCCCTCACGTCTTGAAGGGTTACAAACCCTAAGACTAGAGAGACACTGATGTTGCCCATCAACAAGTGAGCACCTGGACTCTAGGCTTAGCAGATGTACAGTTCTCTTGGTCTTAGTCTTCCCCACTATGGTGAGATGCACAGTTCTCACAGTGGCTAACTAGATGCCTGCGGGATGCCCGCAAGTGCATACTCTCCAACACTTTGAAGCCCAAATCTGGGATGCCACCTTCCTAGACACCATCTTCCTGTTTTTCACTGAGAGAGCAAGGCGGCCATTTGGGTTGCTGTGTTCTCTCATGATTTCGCTTGCTGCCATTTCCTCTCCCCAAAAGCACTTTCTTTCAAGCACGGCACCCAAAACACATGTTTTGGGTCGCTACTCAAAGATTGTACTGCCACACCGTGTGAGATCACGGCAACCAAGAAGGTCACTGTTCTCTTGCAATAAAAAAACCAGGGATGTTCGAGTTTTTCTGGGACACTTCTGGGAAGGCAAGCTGGACCTGGGTGGAACAGCACTTTTCCCAGCTATGGTTCTCAGCAACTGGTATTCTGAGGCCTTCTGCCTCCATCAGTGGAGGTAGAACATAGCAGAGCCTCCAAGTGTCTCTGTTTTCCAGGGACAGTCCTAGATTTACAGTTTCCAATTTGATCCTGGAATACCCCTCTTTTCCTTAAAAGGTAAAGGTAAAGGGACCCCTGACTATTAGGTCCAGTCGTGGCCGACTCTGGGGTTCCGGGTCATGTGGCCAGCATGACTAAGCTGCTTCTGGTGAACCAGAGCAGCGCACGGAAACGCCGTTTACCTTCCCGCCAGAGCAGTACCTATTTATCTACTTGCAATTTGACGTGCTTTCGAATTGCTAGGTTGGCAGGAGCTGGGACTGAGCAATGGGAGCTTACCCCACCGTGGGGATTTGAACCGCTGACCTTCTGATCGGCAAGTCCTAGGCTCTGTGGTTTAACCCACAGTGCCACCCGCATCCCTTCTCTTTTCCTTAGAACGTCCCTATTTTCATTGGAGAAATGTTGGAGGGTATGGAATTATCCGACCCCCCAAGCTATCTGAAGGCAGCCCTGTATAGAGAAGATTTTTTAAAAATGTTTTAATGTTTTATTATGTTTTAATATATGTTGGAAGCCACCCAGAGTGGTTGGGGCAACCCGGTCAGATCGGTGGGTTATAAATAGTAAAATTAATATAGGACATCCCTATTTTCATCGGAGAAATGTTGGAGGGTATGACATTGCCATCATGGTTAGTAACCCTTGCTAGCCTAATGTTATCCTCTGTGGCTTTGCCTAAATCATCCAAAATGGCGACTCCGCCACTTCACCTTATGGGAGTGGATTCTATAGTTTAACTACGTGTTGTGTGAAGAAGTACTTTCCGTTGTCTACCTGGAATCTTCTAACCTTCAGCTTCATTTGATGGGCCCCAGGTTCTAGCCATGCTAGCTGTGCTCTACCTCCATAGTTGGAGGCAGTAATGATTCTGAATACAGTCTTACCACGGAAGTGAAACAGAATCCGTTCCGGAAGTCCGTTCGACTTCTGAAACATTCAACTTCCAAGGCGTGGCTTCCTGCAGCCAATTGGAAGCCGCAGAAGCCCCAGCGGACGTTCAGCTTCCGAAAGAACGTTCGGAAACTGAAACACTCGCTTCTGGTTCTCGATCGTTTGGGAGCCATAATGTTCAACGCCCAAGGCGTTTGGGAGCAGAGGTATGACTGTACCAGCTGTTGGAAACCTCAGGAGGGTAGAGTGCTGTGGTGGATCTACAGTAATGGATCTACTTCCTCACTGCAGGAGATCCAGGGGGTTCTCATCAGCAGGTACCTTTGTGGGTGGTGGTGGTGGTGGTGGTGGTGGTGGTTGTTGTTGTTGTTGTTGTTATTTTTGGCCCTTGGCAGTCGGTGGAAGAAGATTGGAAGAAATTTAAAGACTATTTACAGAAATATTGCAAAATTAATGAATGTTAGAATGGTGTTGGATTGAAGTTAAGTGGTTTCTAGCTGTATTGGTATAAAAGAATATGGAAAAATTGGTTTTTAATATGTAAAAATTTAATGTTATAATCTATCAAGATTAAAGATTAGGATTAAAAAGGAGGGAAAGGAATTGCTGGATTAACAAATTGAATTGGAATACAAAAGAGGGAGGTATGAGGAGGTCCGGGAAACAAGTAAATGTAAAAGAAGTGATGAAAAGATGGAATTGTTTTTAACTGTTTGTTTTCTCCTTTGTATTTTGTATTTTTCTTTTTTATTGTTAATTTTCTCATTAATGTGATTTTTCTTTTCTTTTGAAATTTTAATAAATATCATTTTTTAAAAACAAAACAAAACAAAACAAAATATTTTTGGCCCTTGGCAAGTGTCTGCCAATGCCAGGTCTCCTAGATCTTAGTTTTAAAGAACTCTCAGCTCCAAGTTGAAAAAGTTTTGAGCACCTGCTTGCATGTTCTGGGCACGTTAAACATCGGTTCTGTCAGATTTCTTCTGTTCCCCAGCGGGGAAGTTGGGTATTTCTGTCACTTGCCTGGCAGAATAAGAGTACAGGACTGAAATAGTATTTGTTTTCCAACCTTTCTTTCTTTCCTTCTTTCTTTCCAGGGAGGGATCTTGACATCTTTCTGTAGGGGCTGCATCACCAGATCTGACACCACTGAGAACACGGGATGCCATTGCGAGTCTTCAGACTTGAGTCAACTGCGTTTGGAAACTTAGAAATAAATGACAGGGGATGTGCCAAGACTGTCACATTCTCCCCCAATAGACAGGCAGGAATTCAGCAGGTGCAGCACCGATTGACCCAGGGATCAGAAAAGCAGCACTGGTTTAATAACAATAACAATAACAATAATGTATTATTGTTGTTGTTGTTGTTGTTATCAGATGGAGGCCCATCCCAGAGGTGAGGCCTGTTGAGCTCAATGGGGCTTACTTCCAGGTAACTAAACATAGGATTGCAGCCATGAGTTTCTTATCTTGCTCTATTTTGAGAAAGAAGCGGGGTGGGGTGGTGGAATGTCTCATTTATCTTTTTTTAAAATACAGTGGTACCTCGGGTTAAATACGCTTCAGGTTGCGTACGCTTCAGGTTACAGACTCCGCTAACCCAGAAATAGTACCTCGGGTTAAGAACTTTGCTTCAGGATGAGAACAGAAATTGCGGGGCGGTGGCGGGAGGCCCCATTAGCTAAAGTGGTGCTTCAGGTTAAGAACAGTTTCAGGTTAAGAACGGACCTGCGGAATGAATTAAGTACTTAACCTGAGGTACCACTGTAAAAAAAAAATCTAATTTACTGAGGAAAAATTCCAAACATTATTTCAATGTTTGGGATCAAATGCACATACAAACACACACAATATTATTATTATTATTTTTAAAAACAAAGCTGTTCTTTGTGCTCAAAACTGAATACCTAGCAATTCCCTCCCCCCCCTGACCCATTGAATGATAGTCTGGAAAATAAATGACTGGAGTTTCCCTAGTGTTGAAGGCCTCCACCCCTGCACCCACCCCCTGGTTGAAGTATCAGATTTATTTGAGAACTTGCCTGTTCTAGTCTGCCCACCTGGTTCCCCCACTTTGATATCCCTAACGTTATCATAACTTTCATTGTCTCTTCACGTCAGTCAACCCTTACCGCCTAAATTACTTTCATTTATACCTTCCCCCTCCTCTCCTGCTGTTTGGCTCCATCGTCGTTGGAGATTTAAGGTGAAAACATTTCTGCTGCTTGACAGGGCAGGAGGTGGAAATTGCTATGTGACGAGAAAACTGCAGGTTACCTAAATAATATACCGGTGCATATCGCACACAGAGACTTAACGCAACTCGCTCGGCTACAGAAAGCTTTTAAATTCTGCCCCATCAAAGCAGATTGTCCATATATTTTAAGACCTCTTGAATATATTTTAAGACCTTTGCAGTTCTTCTCTTCTGAATTGCGTCGATAAATGTCTCTCTCTAGCTTCTTCCTTTAATGATGTGGTTTTAACTTCCCCCTTTGCTCTTGAAGACATCCCCAGCCTTGGGCCTAAGCCTAATTTTGTTTGTGGAAGAGCAATGTTGGTACAGCTCCGCCCCTGCCCCCGAGCAAGCAAAAGGCAAAATCAAATGTGCAGGCTTAGCGAGAGGCGTTGAAAAGCAACGGGTGTCAGAAAAGACCACGTCAAGTTGGTTTTTGAATGGGGATTAGGAACATGTGGCCTTCCAAGTGTAGCCAGACTCCAGTTCCCATCATTCCCAATGTTTGCCCATCATGGCCAGGGCTGATGGGAGCAGGAGTCCAAGGACATTTGGAGGGCAGTATGTTGGAGAAGCCGCTTTGAGTTGAATGGCGAGTTCCCGCCCCCCCCCCAGGTGGAAATAATGATGCATGACACAATTATTAAGGTTAATGGGCTAGAAAAAGGCCACAACTTTATTGGTTACAGGTGATGAGTGGTAGTGGCTTAGGCATTGGTCCTAACCGACTACAGTGGTACCTTGGGTTACATACGCTTCAGGTTACAGACTCTGCTAACCCAGAAATAGTGCTTCAGGTTAATAACTTTGCTTCAGGATAAGAACAGAAATCGTGCTCCGGTGGCACGGCAGCAGCAGGAGGCCCCATTAGCTAAAGTGGTGCTTCAGGTTAAGAAGAGTTTCAGGTTAAGAACGGACCTCCGGAATGAATTAAGTACTTAACCCGAGATACCACTGTATATCTGACTTCAGCCTGTCCGCTTGCAGTTCGGCAAGGGTTAACCACCAGTAGAGGGAGTCCTGCTGATGCACATCAACTAGGAACTCCCCCGGGGTCACCGATAGGGGGCGTGCCTTAGGCCCTGGCCTCCATAGGCTTCGGACAGGGCCACGCCCCCCAGAATCCTTTATCGGACTACCCTTCAAAATTCGGGGCAGGTGATGGTGTTACCTCCCCTTTTCCATCTACAGAACTATACCAGTGCCTAAAAACAGAACAGCTACGGAGCGGCAAAGAGGGAGATCCCCGGCTGCGTCCTGCCTTTATAGGGCAGGCCACGCCCCCTGAGCTGGCCGATTGGCCAGCCAGGATGTGACGTGGCCGGGAATCCCCCCAATCGTGTGGGAGCTGGCCTCCACCCACCGCGTGCGTGGAGGGGGCGTGAAGCTCGCAACCCCACCTCCTCTGAACACACACACACACATTAAAACAACAACAGCACACATACAAAATCAATTTGAATCCAATACAGATACCAAATAATGAGGCTGAATACATGATAAAGGAGTTGGTTCCATTTTCCAAGCCTCCAAAATACAGGATATGGTTATTTTTTTAAGACAATGAGTATCTCCTTTTCAAGCTTGCCTTGTCTTCTGATCAGCAAGGTGACTTTCCAGCTGTCCTTCCTCTGACAGATAGCCTGCACACCCATCATTTGACAGGAGCTGAGTCTGACAGCCAGTCAATTCCATGCTCCAAGTCTCGCTTTTGAGTTCCTTCGCAGCAATTAAAAAATAAAATAAAATCTATAGCCTGCATTTTACTGCCCAAGATCATTTAATCTCCATGCTGAAAAGCTTCCTTGCTTGTTTTATGAGATGACTTTTTAATATGGGCATGGCGACTATTGATTGCTGTTTTATTAGGGAAGGTGACTCAGTGGAAACTCAGGTTTTCAAGCAGGAAAGAAAGGCCAGGAGTTATATCCTTATGTAGGTCTGACAAATATTAACATTTATGGCTGTTTTGATTTGCAGTGTTTTATTTCCCTCTGTGAGGAGACAAAATTAGGTGCTCTAAATAGGGCTGCCTTTGAAAACAGTTTGGGAACCAATTTTTTTCCAAAACACCATGACTAGATTGATCAACCTATATTGTATTACTTTAACATACCCTCCAACATTTCTCAGATGAACATAGGGACGTATTATTATTATTATTATTATTATTATTATTATTATATCCCACCCATCTGACTGGCTTGCCCCAGCCACTCTGGACAGCTTCCAACACATATAAAAACATAATAAAACATTAACCATTTTAAAAAATCTTCCCTATACACGGCTGCCTTCAGATGTCTTCTAAAGGTTGCATAGTTATCTCCTTGGCTAGGTGTCTGCATAACTCCATACCTCCCAACATTTCTCTGATTAAAATAGGGACATCCTAAGGACGTGAGTGGCGCTGTGGGTTAAGGTTGGTGGTTCGAATCCCCACGACGGGGTGAGCTCCCGTTGCTCGGTCCCTGCTCCTGCCCACCTAGCAGTTCGCAAGCACGTCAAAGTGCAAGTAGATAAATAGGTACTGCTCCGGCGGGAAGGTAAACAGCATTTCCGTGCGCTGCTCTGGCTCGCCAGAAGCCGCTTAGTCATGCTGGCCAAATGACCCGGAAGCCGTATGCCAGCTCCCTCGGCCAATAAAGCGAGATGAGCACCGCAACCCCAGAGTTGGCTACGACTGGACCTAGTGGTCAGGGGTCCCTTTACCTTTACCTTTTAAGGAAAAGTAGGGCATTCCAGGATCAAATCAGAAATTGGGAAGGCTTCTGTAAATCCTGGACTGTCCCTGGAAAATAGGGACACTTGGAGGATCTGCTTTAGATGAGGACCACAAGACAGGGAGATTGGGGTTAGACTGTTGGACTAGGACCTTGGGAGATGGGTTCAAATGCCCACTCGGCCGTGCAGCTCAATGGGTGACCTTGGACCAGTCATTGCCTCTCAGCCTAACCTACCTCCCAGGGTTGTCGTGGAGGAGGGGGAGAACCATGTACACCACCTTGAACTCAGTGGAGAAAAAGGCTGGATATAAACATGATAATATAAATAAAAAAGATTCGAAATTGGCCCCTTGGTTACTTCTTACAATTCTTTTGCAAAGGTTTATTTTAATAAGAGAAATCAGCAAGGTTTCTCTTGTGACAGCCTTTAACAGTTGCTACCCTCCCACTTTCTTCTCATTTTGGGGCCTGCTCACCCAAGCAGCTGTAAATATAACCATCCTTGATTATATTACCTTTAGGAAATATATACATGTGCCAGGTTTGGGGCTGCCCGGAGCCATTCCCATCTTACTTGTGTAGGCCTGCACTGGGGAAATGTTTAATTTGAACTGGATGTGCCTAGAGACATAGCGAGGCTCTTAGGAGTCCTTCGCATGCCAACACCTCTCCTTCGTTGCACCAGGGAGGAAAAAGTCAGGAGCTAATTGCTGATTCGGAAGTTACCTTGCCCAGCGTGCCCCTGTAATAAAAGTATCTTCAGATGATCTCTTCCATGCGGCAAAACAACGTTTCTCCGTTGTTGCCAGGGACTTTCCCTTTGCTCCAGGTAAGAATTTCCCCTGCAACGATTTGGCTAAGGTAGGAAGATCTGTCCATTTCAGCTCCTTAAATCCAGTTCCTCACATTTAGGCAGCAATTTGCATTAGGAAACAAAAAAACCCAAATCTGCAAACATTTTTGCGCCTACCTCTCCTAAGAAACACATTTTTATATGCAATATTAACCAACCGGTGCATATTTGTGAGCAGAATTCTCTTACAGAATGCATGTTTGTACAGCATTTTCATGAACATGTGCATTTGTATACATTCTGTCACCTAATTTATGCATATTTGCACACATTGGTGGGCTGGCGAAGTTCATTGCAAAATTCGGAGGAGTGAGAATTTAAAGGGATCATTTCGGTTCATGCATGGGTTGGAGAAGTGACAATCAGGTAGTTTCTTATTAAAATGAAACAAAGTTGAATTTCTCCAGAGCTAATATATCTGAGGTGTAGAACAGGAAAGGGGGAGACT